CCAAGCCCACAGCCCTTAAATAAAGAGATGGCCTGGTCGTCTTCTGTGCTGGAAGAGGGGAGAGAGCCTGGCACTGCTGACATGAGGGGCCTCAGGGGGTTCTCGTTGGCACCTGGCACTTCCTAGGCCTCCACTGTTTGCTGCTGGTCCTTCCCCATCTCCTCCACCCCCTTTTTCTAGACCCTCTCAGCGGTGGGCATCTCCTGGAACAGGTCCCCAGCTTCCTCATCCTGGGCAGCCCATCCTTCCTGAGGCATCATTGGCTTGGCACTGAGCTCACTGAGGAATCGCCACATTCCCTGTCACCCTGGAGACCCTTGGCTTCACACATTTAGAGTCTTTTTCTCTTGCTTCTTGGGCTGGGTGGAACAAATAGTTAAGTATTTGACCATTAATCAAAAGGTTAAAGGTTTGGATCCATCCAGAGGCACTTTGGGAGCGAGGCTGGTGATCTATTTGCAAAATATCACAGCTTTGAAAACCCTGTGGAGCAGTTCTGCACTGCACACAGGGGTCTCCATGAATTGATGAGTGCAGACATCATCAGCAAAAATGACAACAGCTAGAATGTCTTAGAGGCTCCGAGAAGCAACACTTGTTCTTTATTCTAAGGGTCTCACCTCCCAGCGAGGGTCTTGCCTGGAAAGTCCAGTTCCTCAGGGGTGTCCACTATCTCAGATTCTTCAAGAAGATTCCAAGCTTTGCTCCCTTCACTCTCTGCCCACCTGCCAGCCCTTGGAAATAAGGTGGTACCCTTGTGCCTCATGCCAGTCTCTGCAATTACAGGTTGGCAGGCCCCGGAGCAAGGTGTGCCAGCTGGGATGGCAGCTTGCTGGTGGCCAGGCTGTCCCTGTGCTTTATGTCTTGATGGCTCAGCCACTGTGAGGAGCTGACCTGTGAGTGGGACAGATCATGTCCCAGAACTGCCTCAGTCTCCACGATCATGGACAATATTTACTCGCTCTCTCCCTTCGAGCCTGAGACCCACAGGCCATCTTTGCTGTTCAGACACTGGTCACTGCCCTTTGGAAGACAGAGCTGGACCCAGGTGGAAACTTGAGTAAAGCTGTCTTCCCCATCCCCTGGGGAGTGGTCTTTTTTGGGGTTGATGTTCCATCTTCCCTCTCTGCTCTCTCTCCATGTTGACCTGTGGGTGCAGGTGTATACGAGGACTGGTGTGTACCCAAGTGTGAAGGTATGAGGATGTACATATGCACACACATGCAGGTGTCCATGTGTGTGTATGTGCATGTGCACATGTGATTGTGTGTGCTTGAGTTTCTGCGCATGTGTGAGACCACAGCAGCAGAAGTATGCGCAGACTCTCGTCAGCAAGGACGCATCAGTAAGGAGTCTGCCTTTGCCGCATGCATATTTGCAGTATCATCTCCCTTACTTGCATATAGAGTTCCTGGGTGCTTAGCTGCTGATGAAAGATCAGAGGTTCGAGTCCACCCAGAGACTCCTCAGAAGGACAGACAGGAGAACTGCTTCTAAAACCAAGTCCTTGAAAACTTACCCTGGAATGGTGGGGTGTCAGGAGTTTGGAGTCAACTTGACCGCAGCTGGTTTCATGGCTTTTAAATCTACATGTGTGAGGGCTTCAGGTCTGTGGACATTTGTGTGTGTCCCCCTCCATGTGTGTGTGCCCAGGTGTTGAAGCCCATGGGCACGTGTGTGAGGTCTAGGCATGCGTGTGTCTGTGCATGCTCGAATGTCTGCACAAGTGGAAGAGTGTGGTGTATGTGTGAGTGTGTGTCCATCTCTCTGGCTGGGGTGCTCATTGTTACTGCCACAGCTCCAGAGTATCATTCTCCTGTGTCTGAGCTGGAGGAGGCCAAGGGCTGCGGGCTCCACATTGCTTCAGGTCCAGGTAGCATTCCCAGGCCCCCCACCCAGCTGGAGCTAAGCCAGGGTGCAGGAAAGCATCAGAAGACCAGAGCAGGGCAGATTTCTTTTCAGGAGTCCCCTCACAGGCTGGCTGTGGAGATATGATAGAACTCGGGAAACTGAGGCTGGGGAGAGAGTGAGCATTAACGGACAGCCAAAGGGGTAGGCTTGAGGGAACTGAGGGTGAAGAATAGACATGAATCCATGCTCTAAGGGCGAGGGAGGCCGCACAAGGCACACAGAGGCCTCTAGCAGAGGCCTGGATCCCAACCAGAAAGTCATCAGTGGAGTCTGGGTCCTGCCTGGCTCAGCTGCACTGGGCAAGGAGACAGTCCTGAGAGGAGCATGTAGGGAGAGGGTGAGTTTGGGGATCTGGTCAGTCTGAGGGTCCTGGGGGTGTCCGGGGCTGCAGGACCAATTCCTGAATGGGAGTCATTCTGATGTGAAACAATATGAAACAAAAACCCAGTTGCTGTTGAGTTGATTTTGACTCATGATGACCCCATGTGTGCAGAGTGGAATCCCTTCATAGGATTTTGAAACCTGTGACCTTCCAGAAGCAAATTGCCAGGCCTCTCTTCCAAGGCACCTCTGAGGGTGTCCATGCCACCCAGCTTTTGGTAAATACGGCTTCACCATTGGTACCACCCAGGAACTCCTTAGCTTTGAGTGAGGCAGATAAATTCTTTGTGGTCCCTTTATTTCAAACCAGGGCCTGTTTGTTTGTAGTGACTCTTGTGAAGCCCATGTCTGAATTGGCGATGGCTGCCCTTGAAGTCTGACACCCAGTTTGTGCCTGGGCCTGTGAGATGAGGTCAACTCCAATTGGTAGTGACCCCATCTGTGTGGACAGCCCCTGGGCCAGCCTGTCATTGCGCCACTGAGGAGGCCAAGGCCCTGGGGGCAGTGACCTTTCCAGGGCTGTCCAGCAAGACAGGATGAAGCTGGGCCCACGGATAGTGCGACCCAGAGCCCTCTGCTGGTGGCCCCTCCTTGAGCCCAGGAGGCCCAGGCAGCTGCCTCAGGAGACTCTGTAATTATGAGATTAGAAGTCAGCCTCTCCCCAGCCCTTCGCCCCTCAAAGCTGCTGGGTGTAGACAGGAGTTGGCGGCACAGAGCCGGTTTCCAGGTGTGTCTGAGGAAACCTGGCTTCTCCACAGCCTGAAAGGCCCCATTGTGGCTGCAGCCTCCCTCCATTGCCTCTATTTTGGGGTCGGGACCCACCCCTCTCCAGCTGGAGGAAGGAAAAGGTGTATTTCAGTATGTCCTGTGGGTGTCGGGGGGCAGGGGAGAGACCAAAGGGGAGGGTGCAGCGTGAACAGTGTGGCTGGATCATGTGGAGAAGCGGCAATGGCAGCCACAAGCTAGAGCGAGGGAAGAGCAACGTGGTGGCCCAGGTGGAGGTGGCCCAGGAGTCGGAGGGGCAGGGTGGGAGCCGGGCAGGGCTTTCATGTGGCTCTGGGAGGACTCTTGGCTGACCCTGACACACAGGAATGCGGGTCTGCGGCCTGCCTGGCGCCCTGCCTGAGACGTGCCTGCCAGGGCTTCCTGCTTCCCACCCCTGTGGGGGGCCCAGCCCCGTGCCCAGAGGGAGACCTGTTCTTCAGGGTGAGGAGGGCCTGGGGCTGCAGCTACAGAGAACATGCTGGCTCTTCTTCCTGCTAGGTCCTTCTGCCCATGATCCATCCATCCTGCTGGGCCATGTTTGCCCGCTCACTCCCGGCTCAGCGTGGCAGGTGCTTGCTAGCTACTAGCCCTTCGCACGTGACCCTCAGCCTGGCCTGACCTTGCTGTTCTCAGCCTGTCCTGATCCTGCCCACCCTTCAGGGCTGTGCTCATTGCCATCTCCACCTGCTCCCTTCACCACCCTCCCGGGATTTCCTCTGACTCCCCTTTTGCCAGCCTTGTCAGGTACTGTGGTGGCCAAGGCCTCCCGATCTCCTCTCCACAGCAGCCTGCTCTCACGGGGCCAGGCACCAGGGTGAGGGCTCACCAGGAGGTGGCTTGATGTGTACCCTTGGGCCTAACCCTCCTCGCCTGTGGAGTGGGATCCTGACAGGTAACTGGGAGGTTAATGGGAGCAGGCATGCAATGTGGGGGGCAGGAGGTGGTCCTTCCGCACCTCAGCCTGGGTACAGACGGGCCTCTGACATCAGGCCTGGCTGCCGGTGCCTGGGCTGACCAGCCCCAGCCCCGTGACTCCAGGAATGACTAATTCTGCTCCAGCAATAAGCTCTTGGAAGCTCTGAGAAGTGAGACTTTCCCCCCTTCCTTCTTGTTACCTCATTAAACTCTTCTTGAGTGAGAGGAATGAGGATTGTACTAATCCTTTGGCAGGAAGTGAGGTGGCTCAGAGAGCTGGACGAGATGGTCGTGCAGGGGGCTGAGGTCACCAAAGGACATCAGGCACAGGGTACGATGGGCATGTGAGGCTGCACTAGTCCCACAGGTGCCCAAGGCAGGAAGTTGGTGCTAGACAAGAGCTGGAAGTCTGTGTTTCAGGCTAGCTTTGCCCTGGGCCAGGTAGTGACCTCAAATAAGCCTTAGCCCAGCCCGAGGCTCAGTTTCACTGTCTGCATAATGGGTGTTATGGGTCCTTCTCGGGGAGGAGGATGCCTACAGGCTGTGCTTGGCTGTGACCTGCATGAGGTGCTGCTGAAGGGGTGCCTGGGCCAAGCAGGCTGTCTGGCATTCAGGAAGCCCCTTATTAGAGGAGGGAAGCCAGGCTCTGAGCAGTTCCTTGGTCTTTCTGCTTTTGGTCTATTTCTCCATCCTTCCAAGGGGTCTGGGAGTTCTGACTCCCTCCTATGGAAGCTGGAAGACCCTGAGGGCTGTTCATTAGGATGAGTGCTGACCCTAGACCCTTGGACCAGTACTCTTTGCGGGTCATGGATATTAGCCTGATCTAGATGGGAACCCTCACCTGCCCTCAAGACTGAGGGACCAGAAAAACCCAGCCCTCGCCCACCCCAGCACATCTTGATGGTGCTTTCCTCTATGGAGCCTTAGTTTCCTTGTTCTAGAGGAAAAGACCCCAAGTCGTGGATAGTGCTGTGAGGAATAGGTGACTGGGACCTGGGAGCCTCACTTGGGCCACACCCTGTCCACAGGTGTTCCTGGCCCTTGGAGAGCTGTTACTATCCTGCAACTGGGCAGTGGTTGCTGACATCTTGCTGGTGAGTGTGTGGGGTTTGGGGTAGGGGCTAGTCCTGAGGCCTCTTGAGAAGAAGGTGTTGATATCTGTCCATTGCGGGGCTGGATCTTCTCTGCTGAGCTGCCTGAGAGTGAGAAGCCCTTAGGAACCTAACTTGGGCCACTGACACTATTCCAACATCTCCTCTGAGCATCACTTCCATTTTGTAAAGGAGCAGACGGTGGCTTAGGGAGGGTAGGCAGCTGGACAAAGTCATACAGTGCACCAAGACACGGAGGTGAGACTGGAGCTTAGGCTTTTTGACTCTCTGGCTCTTCCTCAGTAAGCTTCCATGCTAAGGAATGCGGACACAGGGATCCAGGACGTTAGGGCCTTGACTGCTGAGCCTGGGAGGGTCCAGGCCCAGGTCTGCAGGGCAGTCCGCTCAGGGAAGGAGGAGGCCTGACCTAACTCTGCTAAATCCAAAGTCCAGCACAGCACCTCTGGGAGCCCCAGTCTGCTCCTTGGCTCTTGTGACAAACACGCAAGAACTTTGAACCAGGATGTCCAACAAGGAAACAAAAGCAAAACAAACCTGAATTTGTCAAATGTACACCTACAAGAATGACAACCAGAATGGAGGAAAAGAATGAGTTGAAGCCCTGCTAGAAACTCTTGGAAAACAAAGGCAGCGAGTGCTCTGCACAGTGAATAAAGCTCTTGTCTGACAGAGTCAGAAACAACAGTGCCCGGTTCGAAGGGGTGGTAACTGGGCCTGTTTTGTGGTTATGAAGCTGAGAGATTAGCAGTGTAAAGCTTTCGCCCATTGCCTGAGAATCGAAATTCTGATAGTGATTCAAAGTCAATTCTTTCTTGTCTTCTGTTTCTCCAAAGATATTCCTGAGCAGCATAAATGGTTAATGTGTAAATAGGTAGCTGAAAGGTTAGCGGTTCAAGTCCGACAGCAAGTGTCTCAGAGGAGAGGCCTGAGGATCTGGTTACAAAAAAACCAGCCACTGAACACTGATTCTACCCTAATACACAGGGGTCACCGTAAATCAGAGCAGACTCAATAGCATCTGGTTTGCCCCCCCCCCCCCAGATACCCTGGTGTCCTAGAATAATTCTACATTTTCTAGGGCTCTGGGGATCGATAAGTCATTTAACTAGCTGGCAAGGCTACTTGAATGCTACTATTGATGGGCTGCTCATTTCCTGCTGGGGTGAATGGTCTGCCCCTGTGCCAGGCAGTTCTCGGGACTCCCACCCTCACAGGCATGGGCTGCGGGCTATCTGCTGTAGGACAAATCAGTCTCGTCTGCCCCTCCCTCCCGTCATGGGACTCGGGCTGCAACCCAGACTTGGCCACAGACTTGCTGTGTGGCCTTGGGCCTCAGTTTCCTTCCCTGTAAAAAGGGATGGTCGGAACCTGGCAGGCCGGGAGAGTGAGTCTGTGTTCAGGAACGCCCTGAGTCAACGGGAACACCGACCTGTGAGGCTGTCCACGTTTCAACTCCCTGCTCCCCCACCCGCCCTCACATAGCCTGTTCTCTGGCCGGCAGCTGACACCTGCCCCCTGCAGCTTCCTCCCGGCCCCCCACGGTGCTGCTCCCCTTTCCATCTGACAGCCTCCCAGATATGTGGAGCCTGTACACACTGTGTGTGTACAAGAATGCTTAACCAGGCAGAGCCAGGCTCTTCCCACCAAGCTGGGGCCAGGGTCACGGGCCTGCCAGCCAGATTTGGCTGACCTGCCTATGGTGGAGAGCTGGTCAGACTTCTTGTTTCAATCACTCCAGTGCTCCCCATAGTCTCTTCCTGGCCTGGAATCTTCCAAACCCCAAGTTTAGCAACATTTACCAGCCAGGAAGGTGTCTCAGCCACCTTATACTCCCACCATCCTGAAGCCCCTCTGACCAGTGTTGCCTTTCTGCTCTTCAGCGGTCAGAGTTAGGCCATACCTCACAGATCATGGGGTTCGGCTCCCCACGTTGCTGTTTTCCTGGTCAAACAAGAGGAAGAGTAAGGAAAGTGGTCACAGGATCAAATGCAGACAAGTGGCAGGCTGTTGAGGGCCTTGTTTGTAGAGTGGAGGTGCAGGTCCTGCCCTGGAGCAGGTAAGGAGAGAGTGGAAGGTGAAGAGGGTGGATCTGGCCTGTAGACAGCCCCTCATATGCTGCGCTGAGCGAAGAGGACAGGGTGGTCACTGGAGTTGGCAGGGGTTCAGAGGAGGCTGAACTTTTTAAAAGGTGAGGCAACTGCAAGCCTTCAGGGGTGAGGGGCTCACTGGGAGGGGAGAGTTTAGGGGTCTAGTGGATGATGGGGTAGATGGGGATGAACAGGTATTGGGATTGAAGGCTGAAGATGGAACTAATCTTAGAGAGGAGGTCTGGTGTTGACAGGCAGCAGGCCGGGACAGTGCTGGGACAGGAAGTGTATGGGGAAGGAGGCATGTGGCAGGATATGGAGAGAGGGCCCATCTGCTGGCCTTAAACTGAAGGTTTCTAAGTGGTGGGGAACATTCAGGTCACCAGTCCATCTCTGGTCTGGAAAGGAAGCCAATGGGCTGATGATGGGAAAAGAGATACAGAGATTCTACGTGTTTGGAAGGTTGGGAGTAAGAAGGGAGCACAGCCCGGGAGCTGAGATTCTGGAGCTGGTCACCTGCTTTCGCCTCCACTAGTGCCATTCAACTAGCTGCGTGACCTTGGCCCAGTGACTTCACCCCTCTTGTTCTGCATCCCTATTCATAAAATAGATATGATGTTTAAAAAGCACCAGTGGCCACTGAGTCAACCTTGACGCACGTGTGACCCCGTGTGGGTCAGAGAAGACCATGTTCCATAGGGTTTTCAGTGACTGGTGCTCAGAAGTAGATCTCTAGGTGTTTCTAGATGCATCTCTGGATTACTCTCTTTGGACCAGTTATCCACAAGGAGAGTCTAGAGTCTCTCTGGGGAAGGGGTCTCAGGAGTTTGCTATCCAGTGGTTCTCAACATCACTGTGCATAAGAATCAGCTGGGGGTGGAGGTGGGGTGCTTGTTACAAATCCAGATTCCAAGTCCTCTGTTCTCAGCACGTGACTCAGTGGGTCCATGGTAGAATCCAGAGATCTGCATGTCAACTTCCCAGATGATTCTCATGTTCCTTGGAGCACAGCTGGGGAAAATACTGGTCTGGCCCAGCCAGTTCCCCAAGCCCACAACCCTCCTCAAAGTCTCACTTCTAACTCACTTCTGCTTCTGTCTACACTTGGCCCTCAACCTGAGAGAGGCCTGCTCCCGGCAATGCTGAGATTGTCCCCTCTGCCTGTCTCTCCGCAGACCAAGTGCCTGCCTACCACCAGATGGGCTTTCTGTTCTCTTCCTGATTCACCCCAGTCTGGACCCCACAACCCCCCGCCCCATCCAGAGTGTCCCAGAGCCAGCTCAGTAGTGCAGAGCAGAAGGAGAGCTTGACCCCTCTTTCCTAGGTCCATCCTCTGGGCCTCTTGTAACCAGTCACCAGGCTCAGCTTCTACTCCTCAGCAGGTTTTCAAACCCCCGGAGGGTCCTGTCCTCCCTCTGCCTGATGTCTCCATGCTTCCCTGCTTAACCTCAGCTGCCCAGGAGACCATCTGGCTCACCTCCTAGGGGTGTCTGGGAAGGAGGCTTCGGGGAGACAGAGGCAGGCTGCCAGGTAGTCTACATCTGGAAGTTGCCACCAGCTTTCTGCAGGCCCGTGGGTAGCACTGGTTTTACCCTGGGGGTAAAAAGGGAACAGTTCTTCTAAGAAGAGCCAGAAACAGAGGTGTGTTTGTCTCAAAATAGAGTGAGCTTGAAGTTTTAGAAACCCAAAATCCTATCACTTCTAAAATTACTCCCCGACTTGTCCAGCTGCTGTCAGGGCCCAGCCTTGGTCCCCTGAATATGTAGAGACAGTGAGGATCCAGAAAAGACTGTGGGGAGCAGGGGCAGGGACCTACCTTTCCCACTGCTGGCAGAAGCAGCCAGCCCAGGTGCAGTCACTTGAGGTCCCTGAGAAGAGAGGAAGAGACTAAGGGTCTGAGAGGCCCCCAGTCTCTACCACGCATTTTTCTAGATATTCAGGGCCCCACTCTGTGGGAGGCCCTGCCCTTCTCCCCAGAACTACCAGTGAGTAATCACATAATTATGGGGTGAGAAGGAAGCACTTGTGGAAGGTGTAAGTCTGTGGTCAGTTTTCTTAGACTGTTGGCAGGTCCCGGTAATGGGCGGAGGCCCCACTCTCCCCAGGGCCAGGCCGGCACCCACAGTTAGTCCTCTCCGTACTGTCGACCCGCAATGCCGGCTCTCACTGCACCCTCTGTGAATCCCAGCCCCTGGGCTCCTGCCATCCACTTTGTCCCCACCATGCCCCTGCCTAGCGTGTCCTGTGTGGCTCTTGTCTTATCCACCTGCAGGGCTAAGGATAACCTGTCCTCTTTCTCCTCTCTATTTTCCAAATGTTCTAGAACAAACACGTAAACATGAAACAGCTCCTCCTTGCTTGTGACACCAGAGCGAACAAAAGGCCAAGTCTTGGGCCAAGCTCAGATGTTTGTTCCCGGTGGGTGACCCCGGGCACATTCCTTCACTTCTCTGTGGCCTCTGTGTCCTCATCTGCAAAGACCACATAGTAATTACATTTCCTTGATGGGTTGTTGGAGTTGACATCTAAAATGCATACAGGAAGTATTCTATAAATGTTAGCAATTATTATTATTACCCTTGTTATTATTCTCTGATGGGATGGGTTCGGAATTACGGAGATCTCGGCCTTGGAAGTGGGGCTCTGGGGTGGAATCTCCTTGATGGCGACCATGTGGGGGCCATGCGTGTAGTCTCAGCTTGAGGGGAATCTCTTTTATCACACTCCTTCTTTCTCCTCCCCTCTCCTCCTTCTCCACTTCACTCTGCTCTCCTTTTCCGTCCTCCCCTTGCCCCCTACCCTTTCCTCCCCTCTTCTACCCCACCCCCCATCTCCCTCCCCTGCTGCAGCCTTGCATTCTGGCAGGTTTTTCTCCTGGGGCCAGCCTTCAAGATGGTTCTGCTTGGCTGCTTCGGTTGGCAGACTTTGAGCCCGTCCCCTCTGTGCCTGGCGCCTCATGGGACCCCAGAGACCTGAGAGGAATTAGATGAGAGATTTGTGATTGGGGCTCTACTTAGAAAGTGTGAGGGTAAGAGGAGGCAGACAAAGCAAAGGAACCTTCCCAGCCTGAGGGACGTGTGCGCATGTGGCCTGTAGGCGCTCACTCAGGACAGGCATCTCGACTCTGGGTCAGCATCACAGAGCGAGTCTTAAGGGACAGATAGGGATGCCCAGCTGGAAGGATGCTAGGCAGAGCGTGTGCTGGGGGAAAGGACACATCGCCAAACCAGTTGTTGAGAGTTTCAACCCACGGCAACCTTGTGTGTGCCAGAGCAGAGCTGTGCCTCGCAAGGTTTTTGAAGGCCGTACTATTTCAGAAGCAGATTGCCAGGCCTGCTTTTTTTTC